AACAATTATGGAGCACCTATTGAATATTTCTTACGAGCTGCACAATGGCAAAGAGCAGTCTCACCAAGGTTAGGTGTTCCACCAGCTCCTGTCAAAAATAGCATTTGGTCAAGTCCTTATATAAGATATGGTCTCCCACTAGGTTTGCTAGCTACAGCAGGAGCAGTTATGATGTTGAAAAGAAATAAAGCAAATGTTGTAAATAATACTGAAGTAGCTGAAGTTAAACAAACTCCAACACCATTGCCAAAACCAACGTCAAAACCAACGCCTTCACAAACAACACCTTCAATGACTCCTGAACCTATGAAAGTACAAACTCCTGTTCAAAAGTCAACTCCAAAACCGACTCCAACATTTAAACCAGAACCTACTCCTCAAATAAATCGTAAAACTCCTGCGTTTCCTTACTGAAAAAATAATGTTAGTTTTATTTTATTTGAACATTTTATTTAGAGTAAAATGACGACTAAAGTCACTGAAGCAATGAAACAAAAATTTTGGTAGAATACATTAAATCAGGAGCGGTTCCAGAAGGTTTTTACGTTCATACTATGAAGGATGGTAGAGTTCAGTTTAGAAAGATAAAGCAACCATTAGATAGAGAAGGTATATTAAGGAAGATTAAACTTCATGAGGACAACATTGCTGAACTTAAGAAGAAGTTAGAAGAGTTGGAGAAAGGAAGAGAGTTATAAAGTAATGAATTCAACAGACCCAAAGGGTCAGAGCCGCTTTGCGGCTAGGGTGAAAAAAGAGGTGAAAAAAGAGGTGAGATTTCACCACTTCACCTAAATTTATTTTTTCACCTCTGACAACGTTTATTTTTAAGTTTATTTTATTATTTAGCGAGAACGTTTATTTTTATATAAATGACAGAACAAAAATAAAGCATATCTACTCAACAGGAATGAGACCCTTACTGACTATGTATTCGTTTAATGCTTGATGAAAACAATGGTACATATTATCGTATGGGTATACACAACGTCTGTTTCCATCGTCGTCGTATATGTAGAGCTCAAATCCAGTCCAACCTTCTTTTGTACAATATGTAGCTTTATTTAAGTATGCATTTATGTAGATAAGGCAATTTTCTTCATCGCTCCAGAAATAATTTTTGTTCTTTGTTGAAATAGTTTTCGTTCCTCTGCGACCATAAGGAATGTATGCAATGAACTTTGCGTCATAAGGGATTGTAATATATTCGGGGTTTCTTTCATCGTCAATGGGTCTGTCTTTGTTAAAATGCATGTTTCTCAGTTTTACTTGAGTTTTGAATAGTTCACGGAAACGTTCTGGGAAAGAGTCATAGTAAATGTAGTCGGACATGTCTTTGTAATGAAATAAAAAATTTAAAAAAATAAAAATAAGGTTATTTTTATTTAGTGAGGACGGTAGGGAATTCGTTAGTGAAGTAGTTAGTGAAATCGTTAGTGAAATCATTTATGTGTCAGATGGTTTTGTAAATATTTAAGGTTAAGTTGGTGTTATGGTTGTGTTGTAAAATATACGTTACCGGTTTCGTAAAGTGTCAAACCGTTAACTTGGGTAAGGTGGAACGCAGTGCCGCCGTACCCAAGTTAGGGATACTAACTATAGCCAGAGGTGCATTTGGAATTGGAAAGAAGATTTTGAGTACATTAGGTATACTGAAAGAGAAAGCACAACCTATTATACAAACTGTACAGAAAGGTTGGGATGTAGCACGAGATGCAACAAATCTTATTCCAAATCCTGAAACAAGAGGAAAAGTTCAAGGATGGATGGACAATGTAGGAAGACAAGCAGGAAACTATTATAACAAAGCAAATGACTACTATAACCAAGCAGGACACTATATGGACCAAGGTGAAAGATTCTTTAACAGAGGATATAACCATGCACAGCAGTGGGTAAACAATAACCAACCGCAACCACCTCAAACTTGGAGAATGTAAAATTTTTTACTGAGATGAAATGAACAATGCAGCTTTAAACAGAATAACTCATGGAAGACCACCTTTTACACCACGTTTTTGTAAAGTTCTTCCTATACCTCAGGAAGTTTTAGACCGACTTAAAAAACATAAACAACCAGTTGAAAACAAACCAAACTAAAAATTTTTACTGATGTAATGCATGAAAATTCGGTTCAATTCATTTTTGACACTTTACATATCGGATGTATTATCTAAGAATTATATTATAAAATAATAATTTTGTGTTTTATAAGTTTATTTGTATAAATTGATTCAAAAAAAATGGAAAGACAAGAAGTGGATCTGCCAAATGAAAATCAGATTTATATTACGGCATATCTTGAATATTCTATTGGCAAAAAGACAGCAGACCAAGTTGCAAAAGATTTGCACATAGGTAGAAAAAAATTATTATTAAAATGGCAAGAACTTGGTTTAAATCCAAAAAAGCTCGGAAGCCAGAAACTCCTCTTAGAACAGATTTGTTACCAACCATTCACGAAATAAAAGCTAAGTACAATCTAGGTTATAAAAAAGTTTTAGAGAGTTACATACATGATGACACAGTTTCATTTCACGATATGCTTAAATTATACGAAAAAGAGAATCTTTTCAAATTTCGGCGAGATCCAGAAAAAATTGATGAACATCCAAATCAGTATGTTTCCCAATACGTAAATCAGCAATGGCATACTGATTTAAAAAGCTTCAAAGAAGAGACAAATGGTACCAAGCATACTTATCATTTAATTGCCTTTATCGATGACAGATCTCGTTTTTGTATTTATTACGAAATTCTTCCCGATAAAACAATGAAATCAACTTCAAACGCTTTACAAAATGCTATCGACTCTATCAAAATTATTCCATACGAACTTTTGACAGATAATGGATGCGAATTTACAGGAAAGGACTTCAAAAACGTTCTTCAAGTAAATGGCATTCAACACCATCGGACAGAACCTTACACACCACAGTTAAATGGTAAAATAGAACGTTTTTGGCAAACAATCTTTTCGGCTCGCCCAGATTTTATCGAAATAAGAGAATTTTTACCTCACGCAATAGAAGAATACAACACAGTATGGGTTCATACAGCTCTTAAAGATCTTTTCGGTGGAAAACCTACTCCAAAATCAATTTGGGACCAGGGTCCTAAATGGACAAAGGACTTAAACCCAAATCCTGAGTTCGAAATACAGCCTCGTAACTAAAAATAAAGTAAAAATACGAATAAACATTTTATTATAATTTAAATAATTTTTTTATTCATAAAGTAATACGATATATAGCTAAGCTATGTAAGGATATTCTGATGCTGAGAGTTTAAGAACTTTAAATTACGTATAGAAAAAAATTCATTTAATATTTTGTAACATTTTTTAAATTGATAGATAGTTAGATTTTGTAGGGGAAGGTAAGATTCTTTGTGGTAATAATGGTCGTTGAAATTAAAATGAATGTAAGATTTGTGGAGAAATTGTATAAATTTGCATAGTGTTAGATTCAGAATAGGAGCATATGAGCCAGTGATTGTGTCTAATGTTTTTAAGGTGCTAATTGGAAGTAGAAAAGAAAAAAATTTGTTGCAATAACATCATATTGCAAAAAAGTTTTTAAAATATGATGTATGAATAAGAGTATGATTGGTATAGATTTGGGTTGTATAAATGTGATTGAACAATTGTTAATGGAAAGTTCAAAAACTTGGGTGCAATCAGTTCTGATTGCACCCAAGTTTTTGAACTTTGTATAAGGAATTGTTGGCTATGATGTACTGATCATGAATCAGTACATCATAGCCAACAATTCCTTCGCAAACAGCGGGAAACTTTGTCTGAATAGTTTAACATTCAGACAAAGTTTCCCGCTGTCAGAGAGGGAATGGAAGGGTAAGAGGTATATATTCATAATGTATACCTCTTACCCTTTCATTCCCTCGAGAAAGTTCAAAAACTTGGGTGCAATCAGAACTGATTGCACCCAAGTTTTTGAACTTTGTATAAGGAATTGTTGGCTATGATGTACTGATCATGAATCAGTACATCATAGCCAACAATTCCTTCCCAAACAACCCGAAATTTGTCTGATTCCACACTAATTTTATTAATTTATCTAAACTTTTATCCTCGTCTACAATTTAATCATCAATAATTATCTCTTGTTCTATTTCACTATTATATATATATATATTTATATGATTTGATTTAAAAAAATAAATAAATAAATTAATAAATCATTTACTCAAATATATCAAAAGTTTTATTTTTATATATAAAGATAACTACTTTTTTAAAAATACCCTATATATTTTTGCCATGTAAACTATTTTTGCCATGTAAACTTGTCACTTTTGTCAGAAGTGAAGTGAACCGAATTTTCATGCACAACAAAAATTTTTACTGAGATGAAATGACCGAAGAAGTTGAAACGGTAGATTTGACACCACAAACAAAAAGTTCAGAACCATTGTCAAAACCTGTCAAAGAACTTACAGATGAAGAGAAAAATTCAATAATAGAAAGTGCCAGGTCTGGAAATACAAACCCTAATTATAAAGTCACTTTTCATAGAAATGGAACGGCTAGTATCTCAAAAAAGAAACAGACTCTCACAAATAAAATATTGAAGTCTGAAGGAGCTTTCGAGACAACAAATGGAAAAGTTTACTTCACTGACCAACAGTTCATTATAGAACATCTCATTGACTTAGAGTCGAAATATTCTAAACTTTACAACAAACACAAAAAGTTGAAAGGAAAACAAAAACAAATGGCATATGATATTTATGAAGATGTTGACGACACAACTGTTCCTGCAAGTGAAGTAAAGTCAGAGGAACCGAAAAGTGACGAAAAACCGATAGAAGAAGAAAAACCAAAAACTGAAGATAAACCAAAACCAAAGTTTAGTTTCCAAACTAAACCAAGTCAACCTTCATTAGCTGGTATGGGTTGGCGTCAAAGACTTATGGCAGCAGGCGGTTATGTAAAGTAAAGAAAAAATATTTTTTTATTTTATAAAAATGCCCCATATAGAATGGATAGAAAGTCTGCTAGAATAAAAGCAGAGTTACAAAGATATGGTTGGAGAGTTTCGAAGAATTTTAAATATAGGAAGGGAAGACCCATAAAAGTCTATGACAAATTGTCTGGTCTTCGCTACGAAATGGATTTGGAAACAGCACGTGCCAATTATCCAAACAGACTAGAGAGGTTAGAAGAAGAACGTCTTATGGACATGCCTTTCGATGTTAGTGAACCTCAAGTTGAAGGACACGACGACTTTGCCAGATTCTACTGGAAACATGACGAACAATTGCATCCTTTGAGAAGGAAAAAAGGAAAAGGTGAAGACGCACATGCTCCCATGGAAAGAACAAGATATGCATATGAAAAGTATCGTGAAGTTAGAAGTCAAATTACATCTGGTCGAACCTTTACAGTAAACTTTGACGAAGGAAAGAACAAAGAAGGCTTCATGGGAGTACTTGCTGCAATTCAAGACGGAAATAAGAAAGGACACAATCTCAGATTGACCATAACAGATTTGGATGGTCACATTTACTATGCACATGGCAATGAACAAACAGCCGCAAAACTTCTTGACGCTTTCAAGACTACAAAGAGAGAACAAATGGTTGACTCCGACTCAGACATTTTGAATGCAATTGAAGGAATTGCAAGTGTCAAGTTCGAATGGTACCAACCTAACCCTCAAGCAGTCAGACAACATGCTGGATACTTCCCGTTCATAAATAAGTCTGACATTGACTTGACAAGGTATGGAATTTACAATTCAATTGAAACAATTGTCAATGAACCTTGCATTCTTACATGTCTCAGGAACTCTGGTCTTGTTACAGATGAGAAGATGAAGTATCTTGAGTCATGTGTGAAGACAAGGTACATTCTCAGAGGTCAATTGGCAAAAATTGCACCGTTGGCAAATGTCAATATCCGAGTCAACATACCTACAGCTAAAGGTTCTTCACATGACGACTATGTTGTTGACAAAGACTTACCATGGTTGAAGATTGTAATTGTCCACAACCACTTCATGTTGAACGAAAGTCTTACAAACCCATTCTTTGGTAAAAGTAAGTGCAACATTGTCAGAGCTGTCAACATTCTTTTCAAGAAAGGTTTGTTGGAACCAATTCCAGATGACAAGCTGACAGAAACTTTTGTACCAAAAGACGAAACAAACTTTTCATTGTTAGCAAGACCAAAAGTTGTTCCAGACAAAGTTCTAGTACAAAAGAAGTACACAATTCCACAAGGGGTTGGTATGTTCGGATACCAACCTGAACCAAAAGAACTTCCAATGAGGTTGCAAGAACTTCAAGATGCTATAAACAAACTTCCATTGAGACATCCAATTGACGTCAAATTGTATTGGAGAGCATCTGAGTTAGGTCAGAAGGTTTTATATGAAACAGGTTGCTTCGACGATGTTTATGAGATAACAGGAGAAGTTTCTCAGAAGATAAGAGACTCACTTGAATTTCCACAAACTGGACCAATTGGTTGCGACAAGTTCGACTCAAACGAAAAGATATACTATGTCGACCTTAACGCTGCATACATGAGGTTTGTCCAATATATTCCGACTGGAATTCCAAACGAAGATGGTGAGTTCCCGGGAAGGAACTATACAGTTGTAAAAGTCATACAACAACTGTATGATATTAGGAAAGCTTCAAACCCCAAACTTGCAATGACACTCAAATTGCTTATGAATTCGACATGGGGATATTCCATTAAGAAACCTCAAGAGATGAAGAGTAAACATTATGAGAAGGTCGACAACTTTGTTGAAAGGTTTTCTCCTTTTATTTTGAAGTACGAATTCACTCAAGGTCAAAGTGGCTTAGTAACCACATTAAAACCCATTGTCGAACATTGGTCTTACCCTCAGTTCGCAAAAGCAGTCCATGACAACTACAATGAGTTCTTCTCGGAAGTCAAATCGAAAGTCAAGGTTTACTATGAGAACATTGACACACTCATGACGAACGAAGAAGGCTATAACAAACTCATTGAAATGGGAATGGTCGGTGAAAAGATGGGTCAATTCAAATTGGACAAAATTTTCACCGAAGTTCATGTCCTCTCCAAGCGTAAGTACTGGGGTGTTAAAGAAGATGGTGAAATAGTTAAACATTGCATGAAATAAAAAATTTTTATTCGAATTTGAATTAAAATGTGGGAATTCTTGGGAACGGGAAAAGCTTATTTACTTGAGGAACAGGTAAAGGTGGTGGAGGTGGTGGCAACCAGTCCATTTTATATTCCTTCCTAGCTAATTTCCGTTTAATTTCATGGTCGCCCTCGGAGTCTTTGAATCGGACAGGTCGAGTTACACCATTCTTGGTCTCAAACTCATATATAACCTGTTTGTCTGTATTTTCTTCGACTATGGCACGAGACACGAACATTGACCAAACGGACAAAAAGTGTCATTTCGGATGGTCAAGCAGCCAATCGCATTCGAGCACTTCGAAGAAGCCTTACGTTCCAAGGGAGAGGGTGTCTGGTGCAAGGCAGAGGTCATGAGACTCTACGAGCAGTACATCCTCAATGCCTGGGAGGACAAATCGTCCTTGAATTGGCAATTCTACCAACTCCTCTGGGACGACCTCCTACGCAACTGGGAAGATAACGAAAACGCCCAATTCAAAGGTCGGGAGCTAATTTTCCAAATTACCATTAATTGTGCCTACTTATCCAACTAAAAACTTAAATTTACTTGGGGTTTCCCCCTAAAATAATTTTTTTACTCTTAGAACCACTCGAGGTTCTCCTTACGGTTGTTGAGCTTGTCACCGTCAATGTGTCTGACCTTCGTCTTCTTGCCTGGATTTGGAACCCATTGAATTGCGACAAGCTTGCCCATGGAGATTGAACCGCGATTCCGAAGGTTAAGGTTCAAGTGTCCCAAGTTGTTGAGGACTGGGGTAAGAACCTTGCCTGTCTCCTTGTTGCGGATTTGGTATGGGTAGGGTTGGGAAATTTCGTAACCGTCATCGGCAACAAGGGTTGCCCATGTAGCGGATTCAGGAACTTCTTCGTGTTTCTCTTCTTCCTCTTCTTCCTCTTCTTCCTCGACAATTCCTTCTTCAATTTGGTACTCACGAAGTACGGTGTTGCATGTTCTGTCCTTTCCGAGTACCTTCCAGATGGCGTCTATCTCTTCGAAGAAACAGTAGATGAGTCTGGCAAGGTCTCGGTTCTCTCTCTCGTAATTGCGCAAGGTTTCCGTGAAATCGTTCAGGCATTTCTCATTATGATATAAATAATTTATTAATGCATTTATCCAATAATTATGCTGTTGTAAGACGAGTTACGGAAAGTGAGGTGAACCGAAAAAGTGACACTTATTTGGTCGGATAAATTCCCTATATATTTACTTGTCAAAAAAAATCAGACTTTTTTTGCTTTAAAAATTTATAAGTTAATTATTGAGAACGAAGGTGAAAGGAAATGGATATCTCTTACCTTTCATTCCCTCGAGAAAGTTCAAAAACTTGGGTGCAATCAGTTCTGATTGCACCCAAGTTTTTGAACTTTGTATAAGGAATTGTTGGCTATGATGCACTGATCATGAATCAGTACATCATAGCCAACAATTCCTTCGCAAACAGCGGGAAACTTTGTCCGAATAGTTTAACATTCGGACAAAGTTTCCCAACTTTCAAGCCGAAATTCGCGGATACCATTCACCAACTAGCTCTTGCTATGATGGTTATTAAAAATCAAGATCTATATTAAATTCAAAATCTACTCAAAGTCACTAATGTTCGATTTCGGAGTGTCAAATTACTGTACTACAGTTGCTGCTTCTTCTGCAACTTGCGTATCTCTGTAACGAAGAAAAAAAATATGTAAATGTTTTAAAAAGTAAGTGTTTATTCTTATTAATCTGACTGAGCTTAGTAAGAAGATGTAATCGATATTGTTAATTTGTGTTAAAAATTAGATTTTATTTTCGATTTTAAAATATTACCGAATTAATTTCTTTGATTGGCTCTCCTCTCGCGGAAATGTTGAAGAGAAATCCTCAAATCCTTAATTTCTCCATCAACTTTCCAAAGGGGTTCTTTGGTGGTATCATATTTTTCGCTGATATCATAAAATTTGTTTGGTGTAAACCAGGTATGTATTTCTGGATTTTTTGGTAACTGTGTATGTGGTGTTGCGTTATAATTTTCGATTAAATTTTGAATTTGATCCCAAGCTACCTCATCAACTTGAATATTCTGCCAAAATCTTTCGATTTTGCCATTCATGTAAGGGCAGTGTGGTATTATCGTGATTGATTCGACGTTTGCATTTTTTAATAAATTTTTGAAAACACCGTAGTTTTCAAGCCCATTGTCACTCCATATGGCAAACGGTTTGCCATATACATCGAAACATTGTTGAATGACACGACTTGTTTGTGCCGCTTCTTTAGTTTCGAGATGTGACCAAGCCAAAATTTTTCGTGATTTATCGTCAATAACGGCATATAGATATTCACCTTGGCGATGATTTAAAAAGTGAATATCTACATGCCATATTTCATTAACGTAAAAAGCTTCGTATTTTGTTTGACCTTTTGCCTTTGAATTTTTTGGCGGTTGTGCAAGATTGAGAAGTTTGAAACATTTATTAACAGTTCTTTCGGAAAATTGAATGTTCAATAATTTACGGTCAAAATAATCTGTAGTTTTTTCAAATGTTGAAGTTGTATTTGTGCGTATTGAATATGGGTCATCTTCTGAATTTATATCCGATTCTGTATCAATTGAATTTGGACTTGATGAAAATAATTCTTCGGCTGATGAATCGTCGGAATTTGAAGAGATTTCTGATGATAACTGTTCAGATGAACTTGAAATGTCAGGAGAACTGTAATCAAACTCTGAATTTTGATTCCGTTGAGACAATTGTGGAATTGGAAAATGAATTTGAATATTTTGTTGATTTTGCATTTGCGATTCAAGTATCATTTGACGATCTGTTATAATTCGGCCGAAAGCCCGGGAAATTCCTATTTTTTGAACTTTATTATGTAAATTTTGGACAGTATTTATTAATTCTTGTGGTGGATCTTTTGGTTTTGGACCTGTACGTAATTTTGGAATTTCAATTTGATTGAAATTAAGAGCGTTTTTAAAAGTTTTATGTGATATTGTGGGAAGAATTCTTCCATCTGTTAAAGGGACATTTTGGAGAACGGTTTCGACGTTAATACCGCTTTGAATTTGTTGATTAGCTTGATTTAACCATTCTAAATCAATTAAATCGAAGATTCTACCACTCATTTGAAAATTATAAGTTTTGAAAAAAACCGTAAATCATTATTGAATCTAAAAATATTTATGTACAAAAAGTCGGTATATATTCTATAATTATTTAAAATAATGAAAAAGTTGATTTGTGAATCATTGAAATATTAATGCTGTTATATATATATATCAGATGATATAAGATGATTTTTTTAAATAAAAAATAAAATTTAATTTTTTAATTGTTAAAATAAGAATAGTAAGCTTGACAAGTAATTTAAGTTTTTGCTTTGTAAAGTTATTTGGTTGGCAAATGCATTGTGTCACTTTTTGTTTGAGTTCACTTTCCGTAATTTGTCTTATGATAGAAGAACTTTTTCTGTCGGAAGGAAAAACTATCATAAGACAAATTACGGAAAGTGAACTCAAACAAAAAGTGACACAATGCATTTGCCAACCAAATAACTTTACAAAGCAAAAACTTAAATTACTTGTCAAGCTTACTATTCTTATTTTAACAATTAAAAAATTAAATTTTATTTTTTATTTAAAAAATCATCTTATATCATCTGATATATATATATATAACAGCATTAATATTTCAATGATTCACAAATCAACTTTTTCATTATTTTAAATAATTATAGAATATATACCGACTTTTTGTACATAAATATTTTTAGATTCAATAATGATTTACTGTTTTTTTCAAAACTTATAATTTTCAAATGAGTGGTAGAATCTTCGATTTAATTGATTTAGAATGGTTAAATCAAGCTAATCAACAAATTCAAAGCGGTATTAACGTCGAAACCGTTCTCCAAAATGTTAAACTATTCAGACAAAGTTTCCCACTGTTTGCGAAGGAATTGTTGGCTATGATGTACTGATTCATGATCAGTGCATCATAGCCAACAATTCCTTATACAAAGTTCAAAAACTTGGGTGCAATCAGAACTGATTGCACCCAAGTTTTTGAACTTTCTCGAGGGAATGAAAGGTAAGAGATATCCATTTCCTTTCACCTTCGTTCTCAATAATTAACTTATAAATTTTTAAAGCAAAAAAAGTCTGATTTTTTTTGACAAGTAAATATATAGGGAATTTATCCGACCAAATAAGTGTCACTTTTTCGGTTCACCTCACTTTCCGTAACTCGTCTTACAACACTTCCATCCGACAGGAAAAATTTTTCCTTCCGACAGGACACAAACGGATGAATGACGTTCCTCTTCCTGAATGCCTTCCAAAGCCAGAACAACCGAAAGCTGCAGAACCACAACAGTCTCCTCGGCAACCTCAGTTCCAGCAACTACCTCCACCAAATTACTACCAATTTCCACCTCAAGGTTACTACCCACCACAAGGCTTCCCGAACTACCCTCCTCAGCCTATGCCTTACTTCCCCAACCCTTGGTTGTTCCAGCAAGCTCCACCCCAGCAATTCCAATCTCAATCCCAATCGAAGAGAGAGCAAGAGTTCGAAGAAGGTCTGAACCGTTTACGCAAAGATTATGCCACAGCCCCGATGGAAGACGACAGGCTTTCAGTCTCTTCCCTAAGGTCGACCAATTCGACTCGTACCACAGATTCGGTTCGTGACCGTGAAGACTACCTCAAGCAGTCTGAGAGACTCTTCATCTTACAGCCATTTACAGTTGGAGCTCTCAAGAACATGCGCAATTACGAAGGTCAGACACCAGCTGGAGACCGCAAAACAGACGTGCTTACAAGAGCAGTCCAGCTCGTCAAGACAAAGACTGAGATAGTCGACTTCATTCTTGCAGCTGAGTGAGGTAGAATTTACGAAAAAGTGATACTTAACCTTAAATTTCCAAACACTATTTTTTTGATTGTATTTTGTTATTTATATATTTATATATGTATATATGTATATATGTATATATGTATATATGTATATATGTATATATGTATATATGTATATATGTATATATGTATATATGTATATATGTATATATGTATATATGTATATATGTATATATGTATATATGTATATATGTATATATGTATATATGTATATATGTATATATGTATATATGTATATATGTATATATGTATATATGTATATATGTATATATGTATATATGTATATATGTATATAGGTATATAGGTATATAGGTATATATGGATATAGGTATATATGTATATATGTATATATGTATATATGTATATATATATGTATATATATATATGTATATATGTATATATGTATATATGTATATATGTATATATGTATATATGTATATATGTATATATGTATAGTATGATGTATATATGTATATATGTATATATGTATATATGTATATATGTATATATGTATATTTATTTAAAAAAATTAAAAATAATATAATTAAAATTTATTTATATTTTAAATTTCATACTGATCTTCGATTCCAATTTGTGAATTGATATCATTAACAATTGAATTTCGGTGCACCCCTATGAGAGCGCTGGCAACCGAAACACCACTAGTAAGATTGTGTATTAGAAACTGCTTCATGCTGTGTTGAGTAAGCTTCGATGTCTTTGTAGGATAGCTTTCTGAGAGCGAAACAAGATAGTGTTGAAAAAAAATTGAAAATTTGAGAGACTGTGCAAGAGCCAACGACCAAAACACTACCAGTAAGATACAGCAGTAGTAGCTGCTTCATGCTGCATTGAGTATTGTTGAATAATTTGAAGTAGTGGTTTTTGAAATCAGCACCCCTATGAGAGCGCTGGCGACCGAAACACCACTAGTAAGATTGTGTATTAGAAACTGCTTCATGCTGTGTTGAGTAAGCTTCGATATCTTTATCAGACCACCTTTAAATTAACCACTCACATTCTCACTGTGGTCCATCTAAAATTTGTAAACTTTATGACATAAAATTATATTATATGCAGGATCCCACCTATTACTTAATCTTTTTGGAATAAATGTTTTATAATATTTATCGATTGATTGTAATTTTTTGTATAAAAAAAGTTTTTTATTTATATTAAAAATATATTCGGTTAATGATATTATCTTATAATTTGTAAATAAATCTAGTAATAAAATAACTTTAATAGTTGGTGTCACTTTTTCGAAAATTCTGGTTTTTTCCCGCAAAACAGACGTGCTTACAAGAGCAGTCCAACTGGTCAAGACAAAGACTGAGATAGTCGACTTCATTCTTGCAGCTTGCCCATACAAGTAAAAAAATAAACAATTACGAGTTAAACTTTTTATTCTTTCTTTTCTGAGTTGTTTAGAGCTGGTTTCTCTTGTAGGAACCTTTCGTACTCTTCCCTGGTCATGTAATTGCGAATTTGGTACGCAATTCCAGGTTCGTTGTTTTTGAACCTTATGTATGTAACGCTTCCATCCTCCTCAGGGAAGTAAGCTGCTAACATCTGACCAAGTTTTCTCGGTGACTCGGAGCTCATTAAAATGTCACTTTTTAAACGTTAAGTTTTTAGTCTTAATTTACCCTTTGTTTGTCAAGGTAGTATTGGAGCGCAATTTCTCCAAATTCTCTGTGTCGGAGTTCTTCAGCATTTTCCAAGGTGTACCTGGAGAACTCAAAGAAGTTGTCAAGAACATACTGCCATGCTGCTCTTCTGAGTTCGTCGGTATTTTGGAAGTGTTGCACCTTCGAGTCTTCGGACATGAAAAAATGACACTTTTTCTATTAAACCGTTTTGGCATTTCTCATGAGTGAGTATAGTTCTGCCGAACCATTGGAAGAGAAGAAGTACCCTTGCTGGCAAAAGACAAAAATAGTTGCCTTAGTTGTCATTGCAATTGTACTCGTAATTGAATTCATTGTACTTCTCTTCACGTACATAAAACTCAGCAATGGTATTTGCTTTAAGAAGCTACCATCTTACTAAGACTAAACACTTAGATTTTTCAAGCTTGACTTTTTACAATTTGAACTTTGTTTGCGTAGATATGAATTCTGAAAGAAGTATGAGGGTCTTGTATGACTTTGTACTTCTCCCATAGTTCATGTCTGTCAAACTTACCTGCCATGGACTCTTTCATAAGTTCCATGAAATCGTCTTCGGACAATCCGGGGAAAAGTATTATGTCAGTAAGTATTCTTTTAACATCCTTACTTAAACTCTTTGCTGTCTGTACACAAATGACAACTGAGATGTTAAAGTGTCTGAGCTTCTTAAGAATTCGACACATATCTTGTTCTCTGTTCTTTAACAAAGGATGAGAAGCAAAGTCATCTAAGATAAGAAGACATCTATGAGGGTACGTTTTCCAATCGTACGATTGCAATTTCTTCGAAATGTATTCTATCTCTTTCTGTTTGTTTCTGAAGTGTTTCTTCTCTAATATTCTCTGCATTTCCTCATTTGGGTCTTTAAACTTAGAATTTATATACTCATTTATAGCATTATACTTCAAAACTCTTCTTTGGTACTTCTTTATCCAATCTAACAACTCAGTATCCTTTATACATACTAACTTAGACTTCTTTATAATATCTTTGAACGAATTGACGGTTTGGTCAAATTGACCAGAAGTACTACAAATAACAACTAACTCATAGAATGGGTTCTTCTCATCTAGTTCTTGTTGTTGTGCAGCCATTTTAAGATAAGTGAAAGTCTTACCCGACCCAGGTGGTGCAATTAGACCTGTTATACCATTCTGAGCAAATAAGAACTTGTCATGTATAGGCTTTATCTGAGCATTTTCTAACTTCCTCTTGTTCTTATTTAAAACATTCTCAAATTTCTTGTCAATGTCAGCAAACTTTTTTCTAACATATTTTTAGAAAAATTAAAATTTTTATCTTTTAGAAAATGTCTAGCGATTTCGCTATCTATATTCGAGACAAACTTTTTGACAGCAAAACATCTGTCGACCATAAAATCTTACATAGTGTAAACAAGAAAGGTGAATTTGTTCTAAAGTTCTGTTTCTGGGAATATGACAAGAACCATAAAACATTAAGCAGAGAAGTCTTTAAGTTTGTCAATGACAGACTTGTTGACAGAGATGACGCCTCTTGGAGAGATGAAGTCTAACAAAACTTCTTAGAATGCAAAGAAGACACATGCGCTGTTCTTGAAGATGAAATAGAAAACAGAATAGATGAGCTATTAAAGGACAAAGAACTTTTACATAAATATGGTTCTGAGAAATTTGACATAACTCCACCAGAGAAGAAGAAGAGAGAAAAGAAAGAAAAGAAAGAAAAGAAAGTAGAAGAAGAGAAGAAAGAACCTGAACCAGTTCCAGAGAAAAAGAAATTTGACATGTAAAAATAAAATTTTATTTTTAGAACATTTCTGGGTCAATGTCAATGTTCTCTTCCTCTTTAGGAGTAAACACTGGCTTAGACTCTAAAATCTTTTTACCCAATTTACCTTGAACTTCTACAACTTTAGACTCATAATATTCATAGTCGTCTGTCTTCTTTGGTTCATAAGGTATAACAAGTTTGTATGCTTTGCCTTCTTTAAGGTTTGAGAACCTTCTGTCAAAACTTTCTTTGACTGTTAACAAACCTTCTATGTCTAAGTCTTCAAATTTCGCACCATTTTTAGTCACAATAGCAAACTTAACTGGTTCGATGTTCCAAACTTTGCTGAATGAAGACTTTTCAAAATGGTAGAAGTAAACATTCAAATATGTGAATGGGTCTAGTTCTTCTTTAAGTCCTGACATGTACTTGTTTACTGAGATGAATTTTGCCATCTTTTTCTATCGGATAAAAAATATTTTTTTTTTAAAATTTACTCATAAAAAATTTTCTTTGTATATACACCATTCTGAACATCTAAAAGACTTTTGACATTTGCCAAGAATGTTCGTTTAGACGCTGTCATATAACCATATTCTTGACAATATTGTTTATACGAATCGTACAATGACCTTTCATCTAAACACTCAAAGTCAGTTTCATCTATGAACAGTTCATATACACTCTTGTTTGCTTCTAACAATGTTTGTCTCTCTTCGGTATGTGGAATTTGTCTTGGATTGAACTTAGAAATATCTAATGTCATGAAATATGAGAACAGGTGGTTGTAAAAGTCAGATGTCAAAGTTTCTGCTAAGTCGTCAAAATATTCTGTATCTTGCATATGAGAATCCGACGTTCTGACAACTACATATCTTCTGTCAGAACTTTCTAACTTCATCGGAACAGCATTGTTTGAAACCATAATGAAGTTTGCAACATTTTCACAAACTCGTTGGTCTTTATACTTTCTTTCAACAACTCCAACTTTGTCTGTTATAAGACTCTTCAAAGCATCTGAGTTCAAAACTTTTGTTGTATCTATACTTTGAAGTTTATTGCAAACTATAAGTTTCATATTCTCTATTGAGGAGTTAAACTTGTCACAGATGTTTTCTAAGTTTGTCATATTCGGATTCGAATAACCTTCTAACAGTTTGCATAAGATATCTGTAAAGAAAGTATTCTTACCAGTTCCTTGTTTTCCAATTATAATGAGAGCAGTGTCATTTTTAGCACTTGGATGTTGTAAGATGTTTGCAAACCAACATAAGATATACTCATAAACCTTTTCGTTTCCATTGCATATAATTTCTTTGACATGGTCTAACCAAGCTTCTATAACATTTTCTTTCCATTCTACTTGTTCGTATTTATATCCAGTGAAGATAGAATAGAAGTTTGGAGAAAGTGTATAAAACTTTATACCACGAACTGAAAAAATCTTCTAACTTTGACAATAAGATATTCCCAAGCATCTAACATCTTCATGCCAACTTGTACAACTTTTATTTCTTAAGTTTCTGTCTACATTCTTGTTCTGAAACTATTGTCGCTTTAGGTTTGTTAAAGACTACATCCCATTCTTTCATAACATAACATTCTGGGGCAGAGTCAACATAAATGACTAAACGTTTCAAATTCTCGACTGCTTTGTTATAGTCTCGAAATGGACACATATTTCTGAATGCTTGGAAGTCATAAAAATCTGAAACATCTATTCTGTACATTTTTATAAAAATAAAAAAATATTATTTTTTATTCTTTACTTTGTTGTTCCATTTGTTGCATTTGTTGTTCTTGAGCTATTTGTTGTTGAAGTTGTTCTTGTAATACAATACTTTCACCAGTTGCATCTTCCAATTCGAAACTTTCTGCCGTCATTGACAAATACATAGACATAAAAGTTTTACAGGAACAAAGTTTGCGTCAACTAATGTCAACGTTATACTTGCCAAAGTGTTTGAGTTCACTAAGGTTGAAAATTCTGCATTCGAATGAACAATAGGCAAAGCAGCAGAGAAAGTATTGTTTATACGCATAAGTATCTTTTGGTCATAATAGTTTCTGTCGACATTCGAATAACACTTTGAACCTAAGTTTGAAACAATATATAAGATTGGTGTGCTTAATGTCAATGGAATAGACATTCCTTGTATGACACCTTTTCCTGTTATAGAAACTGTTGGTAGTAAAAACCAGAAATAAGTTTTGTATTATAGCTCATATCGTTTATAGTAAACTCAGTCGGACATCCAAACATAATGAAACCTGCTCTAGTTGCAGCACATTTTACACCCGTACTTAAAGTATTAAATAAGTCAACAAAACCTGTTGGTGGTATATCTGAGTAAGTATCTTCAAAGGAGTATTTTTTACCATTCACAACAATAAAGTCTTCTGGTGTCAAAAGAGCAAAACAGGCTTTAGTCGTCATTGTGTTTAAGGTTAGTTTACAATATCGTCCTTGAGGACTTTGTAAGTTTGTTGTTATAGAATTATATGACTCAGGGTTTTTAGTCGTAATAGTATAAACCATTATGTCTTCTGCCATTTACTTAGCAAATAAATTTTAATGAAATGTTGTGGTCGTCAAATATTTTTATAACGTCTGGGAAACTAATTTTAAGTTCAACGTTTCACCACCTTTCATAACGTATATCTTGTCAATGACATTATATGAAACACCACAGCAACTAATGTCGGGTTCTATTTCTTTGATGTTTATATCGTCTGCCTCTGTCAAAAGTTTCAATAGTTCTTTCAAAACTTCATGAGGTGCAATGACATATGAGTTCACTTTTACAGGGTTGTGTTCGACCAAGTTTAACATTATACCTAAAGCTTGACAAATCTTCTCCTGAGTTTGAAGTTTGTCTTTCAGTTGTTGGTAGTCGTTTCGAATATCTGCAACAGAACTTAAGTCTCTGCTAACTTCAGGGTATGTTGGTTGTTCTTTTACAGGAACTATTGTTATACCATCTTGGTCTTCGTATGGTTTCCCCACTTCAACATCTCTGTCTTTGACATTGACAACAACACTTTGACTGTTTGTTTGAGTTGGTGAATTTAACTTCACATCTGCCACTGCCATTAAACCTTTTGAAACACTTACGCTTCTATTTTTCGGAAATGACATTTTACTTAGAATAAAAAGATGGACGTATTCGGATATCTTATTGAATTGAAGCAGAACAAAGTTTATACTCACAAACAATACAAATACATTGACAGAATAGTTCTTTACACAAACAATGGAAAATGTTATAGAATAGCAATATTTGCTGAACCAAAATATTTTCATAAAGCAAAGAAAGTTGGTATAACTGAAATGGTGAAAGTTCTTGAAGCAGACAAAAATATAACTTCAAAACTTACAGATATTACTAAAGGTAAGTTTATCTTACAATATTATGTCAAAACTGGCGTACTGTCAATATTTGACGGAGAGAAGTCAGTTCAAGAACAACTTACTGACCTGCTGCCAAAATCTGCTCGATGGAAGCTGTCGTTCTGCCAATCTGAGGAGCCCCAGCAGGTTTCATCGAACGAATCTTCAAAAGAGCATCTTCCGTGAAAAGTGCTATTGGTTTTGTAAACTTCTTTGCTCTCAATTCATCTGGACCGTCTCTGTCACCAGTATATTGTATTTGAACTGTACCAACAGTTGAAATACCACCCATAAAGTCTTCTGAGTCAGCAAATGGAATGCCAAGCCAAAAGTTTGAACGGTCTCCATTTGTATATTGAGTTTTTTGACCTCCTGTATGAGTCCATACTTTCACATATGGCATAATAGAACTTTGCATTTCAGGGTTAATAGTTGTTGTGAAGTTGTTGTTAAAGTTCATAGCATCTAATGTCAAGTTGTATGATCTCATATCCTCAACTGTAGAATATTCTTCTCTTGGATAATATTTGCCATCTATGTTTATATGATATTTAATACCAGGGTTGTAGAAACAAGAATAGTCATTTATAGTTCGTCTGAACAGTACAAACATAGTATCTGCATGTTTCATTGCAGTTGTTAAAGCAATATCTGTTCTTGAACCTGGGTCAGCACTTTGGTTTCCAACTTCACCTGCAAAGTCTTTGAAAGATATTTGGTGTATAGGGAACATAAGTGGAACTGCAATATATTTGGCAGCTAAAGTATTTGAAATATCTGGGTCCAACATATAGACTGCAAGTCTGCTTTCTATTCTCTTGCATTCAAATTTTTCGCATGTGAACATAACTGGGTCCCAAGCATCTCCAGCAGCATTGAAATAATAGTTTACTTCAGTGTTGAGGTTTGAGAAACCAAAGTCTAAGTCAACTTTGTCTTTGCAAAAGTCACAGAACTTGGCTCCACCAGTTCCAGCTACAGTAATGCTGAATGGGTCTTGTGTTGGTGCAATGACTAAGTTATTTTTGCTTGGAGTAAGTTCGATAGAATTTTTTCCTGCCCAGTTTGGCAAGTATCTTAAAAACCTGAAGATGAGGAAAGATGACAAAGGAACTCTAAGTTTCAGTTTTACTTTGGTTACTGCTGCTGCAGTTTGTCCAAAAAGGTTAACATAAACTCCTGGAACGTTAGGGTCAAGTCTTCTTATTTTCTCAATAGTTGCATACTGGTCTGTTTGTTCTCTAGCTTGTGGTTGTACTGAGTTTCTCAAAGCGAACCATTCATAGTTTGCCCATGTTACTGTTTGAACTAAGTCAGAGTTAGAATATATCTTATATCCCATGAAAACTCTGGAGCATATTGGTATCCGACATAGAAAATTCCATTGCAACCTTTCTTGTCAGACAACTTGGCAGAAGGTTTTAATTTCAATGTCTTGTTCCACGTATAAGAATGAGTTGTCAATAGAAATAATATGAAAACCTGTCGCAAGCAATATCTACTGTTGTTGAAGAACCTTCTCCAAACTCACCTACGTTTCCATAAGAAACAGCAGTTGTATATTCGTAAGTTCCAGGAACTATTTCTGACCTTCTTAATGGCATTGTCGCATTCGTTATACCATTCGGAAACATTTCCGTTCATGGCATCCAAAACTGTTGGCGTTATATTCTGAGCGGCGTACATTTCATATGGGTAAAAATATAGAATAGTTGGATTTATATATCATAATAGAACCCACTCGGACCAAGCTTTACTTTCTTCCTGACTGAGTTTTTAACTCTTCTTTTCCTTCATTGCCACTACTTTCACTAGATGAAGTTACTTCTTCACTACTTTCACTTGTTCTACTCTTCTCTTCTTCTTTGGTGTCGCTTTTGGTAACTTGCCCTCTGCTTCAAGTTGTTGCATCTTTGCCTCATGTTCACCTAGTATGTTGTAAATTTCCCATGTCCTTTTTGCCTTTGGGCTCTGGTCGCCCATCTCAGGTAACCTATATTCTAGAAAGATTTTGTCATAGTTTGTATTTGAGTCTTTCGCTTATTGTTTGCATGACTCTTTCCTGAGTTTCCGGTTCAAGCTCTTCAAACAGAGCTTGTCCATATGGAATAAGCTCGTTTCCAAATATATGTTTTTGTAGCCATTCTGGTTTTCTTTCCATGTAACCAATAATATCTTTTGTGAATGGGAAAGCTTTTACCCAACGTTTCAGGCTTGCGTCATTTATTTCTGTAGTTGGTTTTATTTTGTCAAGGAACATGTTTTCAATACTAACATTTCATTTGGTACTGTCCATTTGAGTTTTTCTTAATATTCATCCCTTCTCAGTTCATTGTCTGCAAAGTAAGTTTTTATGACATTTTGCAAACTTTCGTTTGCAAGGTCATGTACAATAGGTTCTCTTCCTTCTCTCTCCCTAACTTTCTTTCTAAACTCTTCACCAAAATACCATCTCTATGGTTCTGTGTAGTTCTTTGAGATAAATGTTCTAGAACGTCAGGTGTTATATTTCCTTCAGCCATGTTCATTTCATACTGGTCCAAAATATCTGCATCTTTCATATCTTTCAATGGCATTAAAGCTGCGCTGAAAATACCAGCTATATCTGGTTCACCATTCACTTCCATTGCGTCTACAACTTCTTGGAATTGAGGTTGTAAGTTTATGAACCACCTATTCGGATTAGCTTTATGACCCCATCTCATTGTAGTTCCATAGTCTGCAGAAACAAAAGTAGGTTTGTTTCCATATTGGTTAGGTTCTGAATGAACTTTAAACAATGTTTCATTTCTATATGTTTTGTTGAAATTTAACCTTTTATTTTCACCGAGTTCAGCCAAAGATTGAACGTTATATGGTCGTAAGTAAAACGGATTATTGTATTTGCGTACATTATCTTTCAGTACTTCCATTCTATGCTGAATATTTTCATCTGATGTTGGAGTCTTTTGTATGTCGGCGAACATTTTTCGATATTCTTCTACTATGTCAGCCGAATTTTTCTTAGACTCTTGGAAAGATTCCATATTCGCCGCATACACTTGTTGAGGGTCAAGATTTTTCGGCTGTTCCAAATCTTCATCTAGTTCTGTGAAGTTAGTTTCCAAAGGAGGGATTTGTTCGTTTCCTTCAGGCTCTTCTAGCTGTTGTTGCTGAACTATTTCTTCCATGTCTGGTTGTATCTGAACTTCTTCCTGTGGAGTTTCTTGTACCTCATCTGGTGGCATTTCATATATTCCGAGACCGTTTTTAACAAGTTCCCTATCTAAGTCATCCGGACTCATAAACCTTTCTTCTTTCGTTCCGTCTCTATTTTTTACGCGTTTCATGAAGAGAGTTGAATTATCATTTAGCTCTGACACCAAATATCTCGGAGTAAATTCATTCATGTCATTTGGATGATATGCTATTAAATCATATCCCTTTGCGAGCTTGTATTTTCCAGGTTTGAGATTATATCCGATTTTATGCTGAACCATAAAGCTAAATAGGTTCGGGTCAGTATTTCCTTCCTTGAACTTTCTAATAGCTTCTTTATATCTGTCACTAAAGTCAAGAGTATCTGGGTAACCATAATCTTCCTTAAGCATTTTTAAGAATTCTTGGTTTCCTTGTTCTCTACTTCTTTTATGTCCTTGCTCTGTTTGTGGTTGTTGTTGTGCAGGGTTTTGAACTGTTGGTTGCTGTGCTGGTTGTGGAGGTGGTTGTTGTGCTGGTTTTGGTTGTGGTGCAGGTGCTGGTTGTGGAGGTGGTTGTTGTGCTGGTTTTGGTTGTGGTGCAGGTGCTGGATTTTGAACTGTTGGTTTTGGTTGTTGTTGTGGTGCTGGATTTTGAACTGTTGGTTGTTGTGTTGGTTTTGGTGCATGCCTGTGTCTGTGTCCATGTGACGATGTAAATGTTTTAGGTAGTCCTGGTGCAGGTGCTTCTCTTGGAGGGTTTGGTGGTATATAAGTTCCACCAGCTGGCACATATGTTCCATCTGCAGCATAATGTCCTACCTGACTTTTCGTTCTTAAGAAAGCATTTACTAGGTCTGTTTTGGTCTGTTGTAACTCTTTTTCTTGACTTTCCACAACAGTTGCTCTAACGGCGTCATAGGCACTTTGAACTGCCTGTCTCGTTGCTGCATCTGTTATTTTCGTCATATTTTGTGCTACTTCTCTTAACTCTTTGTCGAAACCTTCAGACTTCAGTTTCTTTCCAGATGAGAAGTCGTTCACTAGTTTCACCTTACTATGAAGAGCTTCGAAGGCGTTCTTAAAGTCAGCATTCATTAAAGCTTCATTTGAACTGTCTTCATCCGCTTGTATTTTTGTCCTTATTGACCCTATAAGTTGGGCTGCTTTAGCGTTGGCTTGGGCATCTAACCAGTCATTATTAGCTTTTATATATTCTGCGCTTTTCATTGCCTTTTGCATGGCTGCGTCGTTATTTTTACTTTCTTGTGCTAAGTTTTCATACTGTACGGTTTGGTTTTGCAACTGTAAAAGTTTTTCTGCCTTTACATTTGCTTCAACTTCTTTTTTATACTCATCGCTATCCATATATGTCTTCATGGCTTTTTGTTTTATCTCTTCATCTTTCATTACTTTATATTGAGTAGTATGGTTTTTCAAATTTATAACATCTTGTTCCATTTTTGCTACTTCTGCTGCTTTTTCTGACACTTTTTTTGCATATTCCTCTGTACTTAGTTCTTTCAGTTGTTCTTCTTTCTTCTTTTTCTCTACGTTTAACTCATTGAGTTTCTTTGTGTGTCTGTCATATTCTAGTTTCTTTTCGTTTTCACTTATTTGTTTCTGTATGTCTATGTTTGACTTTTTGACATCTGTTATTTGATTTTTGAGTGAACTCAAATTCATTTGACTTTGAGGGTTATAAGCTGTTCCGTCTGCAGCTCCACCATAGCCTGCCATTTTCGCTAAAAGTGCCGCTCTTAAACCTCCACTCTGTGCACCAATAACTCGGTTTAAAAGCATAGGGTTGCTTGCCATTTGTTGCAACATAGTGGGGTCATTCATCATTTGTTGTTGCAACTGTTGTTGTGGTGTTAGTTTTACTATTGGATGTTTCAATGCTCTCTTCCTCTTACGTATATTCTTACGTAGCTTACGTGGCATTTTAAGTGAAGTTAAAAGGCGGTTTTTGACAGATGTTTATATGACACTTTTTGTTCAGCACAAAAAACTACTCGGTCAAAGTGTTGTCAGTTTTGTAAAATAACCGTCTTATCTCATTCTATAAGGGGGAAAAGGCTTCTCAAAGTATACTTCCTTGGAACGCCCGTAACTTTTCCTGTAGCGACGATAGACCCTTAGTTGTCCGGACAAAGTTATACTATTTTGAGTGCTCTACAAAAAAGTCAACGGCGACGACTCTCAAAAACCGTTGTGTAAAATGTTTTACCGTTGGACAAAAAAGTATATATAGAAAACAAAAAACTATCTCATACCGAAATGGCTCACAAAAAAAGTGACATTTTTGGCGCCAATAATTTGATTTTTCTGATTCTTTCTATTTCGATATATTTATTTAATATTCATATTCCTTTATATTTCCTCATATTATTTCCCATTTTTAATCATATTATACAAATCTTTAATAATTTTTAATGTTTTGAGCTTCAAAATCTTGTTCTAACTATTTTCATTCATATATCCTAGAAAAAATTAAAAAGTTTTTTAGAAATAAAAATGTTTGTATGTAAAGTATTGAAAATATTCTAGATGAGAAGACATTCTCCAGAAGAGATTGATATTGATTGGCTTTGTGAAGCCATCACAAAATCAAATAATGGAGTTAAGTTAACTGATATTTGCGCGAAAGCTAAAATAAATCATGAAGGCAGAGTTATATATAATCATACTATCTTAAAGTATTCCTAGAAATTTCCAAAATTAACCGAAATATAACTGTACAGAATTACTATTTTCGAGATAAAATTCATATGGAAATACTAATTCATAACGCTTTATGTTATATAAAATTTAATTTATAAAAATTTCAAAATAAATCAAATTTAACACAATGAATATAACTCAAAGTTTGGAAGTCTAATAAGGGAAATTGTAGGCTATGAGGTACTGATTATATATCAGTGCCTCATAGCCTGCAATTCCCATTAGAAATCGGAGAAACTTTGTCCGCATAACTTATGATGCGGACAAAGTTTCTCCCATTTCTACTTAGAATGAAAGGGCAAGAGGTATATAGGTACACTATATATCTCTTGCCCTTTCCTTCTTACCTAAAGACTTCCAATCTTATTTTTTTCCCCAATTTTTCCCCTAAATTTAAATCTTATATAATATAAATAAAATGCATAATATCAATCACAAAAATTAATGTTTATTTTTTTAATTAAAATTGCCGCGCAATTTAAGGTTTTCTGTCACTTTTTTTGTGAGCCATTTCGGTACGAAACATATAGAAAACAAAAAACGTTTATAGTTCATTCAATATTTGAGATGGAACGGTTTTTCAACGGTAACTATTAAATAAAATAAAAAATAGAGGGGTCTCCGTTGACGAAAACAGTTTATTTTAAACTTTTCTATGAGTGGTCCGAAAAACAGTTCATTTTTCATAATGGAAGGAAGAACAAGTGTCGCAAACAATTCGTCGACTACCTCTGCAGTTAAAGTTCCTACAACTTATGTCTCATCATTCTCAAAACCCTTACGACCTCCTATAATACCAAAGCAACTTCCTCATACAATTGCAAACAAATTGTTGGACAATTCAAGACAATCTACTCAAGAAAATACCATACAAACAAACGAAACAACAGATACAGTTGTACCAGACACAACAGGACAAGTTTTACAGTCTTCTCCAATTGCAAACCAATTGTCCAACAATTCAAGACAATCTACTCAAGAAAATACCATACAAACAAACGAAACAACAGAGGAACAACCAAGCGCGTCATCGATGACGACAAGGTCCCAGATGAGATACCTCGCGTTCGCGAAGCAATTTCAATCAGGAGATACAGAAAATACAGAAGAAAACACTACCATATCTGAACGTGTTCGCAGGCAATATGCTAAAAAAGACTTCAACTCCTTGAAAAACTCAAAAACCAATGGGAAATTCAAGACGACACCGATTATTCGGAAGTGTTTCAGTCTGTTATGGATAGTTTGCAACCAGTTGAAAATGAAGTTAAAGACCCATGTGTTCTCGTGGACTTGTTTGTTCAATACTTGCCTGTTACAGCAAACCTAATTGCACTACAAGCCATCGACCAATTTATTAGACTTTTCCCCAAAAATATGCAAACTTATTTGCAAAATGTGAAAATTGCTGAGTATGTCAGCATATATCCCAATACCTACAACTATCTCGAAGAATTGGATGAGTATGGACAAAGGTCCTTTTACGTATACTTTTTTACCAATCCAGGACAGTCAAAACGGTTATATTGTATACAACCTTTACCAGAATTTCAAGACAATTTCCATGTCATATCCACTATAGCGTTAGATACACCAGAAAGAGTTCCCTACGGTAGCAAAGTTAGTATTTCAAGCTTCCCGAAAGCTACCAAAGGACATCCTATAAAATTGGCAGAATTCACTCATTCAAATTGCCAATTCTAACAGGATGTTGAGTTTGTATTCTTACACGATACCACATTCATAATACAGACACCTCCAGATGGACTCTACAAAGTATTTATAGCTGGACACGTAGCACCAGATGACGAAGAAGAAGTCGAGGAAATTATATCTTCGGATAATGAAGAGGAACAAACATTTGAAGATGTTAAAGACTCAGATTATACTGAGTAAAAAACTATTTAAGATTAAAAAATTTTATTTTATTTAAATATCTTTCTTTTTCATCGGAGTCTTGGGGTCAGTCCTCCTCTAGGTTTTTTAGGGGCTAGAAGGGGCGCAGCCCCTGGAAGCCCCACACACCTGACCTTGACCTAGCTTTTCCATGAAACTTAATGGCTTAAATTAAATTTCCTGCCTTATGTTAAAAATTAAATTTTTCACTTTTCTGACATCCCAAAATTTTTTGAAAACAGTCAATGACTGACTGACTGACCTACATTTGAAACTAAAAGTATTTCTTTGTTATGACATTTACGCCAATTAATAGGACCTCTTTCCTATTCTATTTTATTATATTTAAATTCGTAATTGTGAATTTCATTTAACCATTCCATAACACATTCTAAACCACTCTTGTCTGAAGTAAAATAAAAACAGTTATGTTTATTTAATACATCTAATGTTTCGAATGTATTTTTTAAATTCCAATCTGCTTGGTATTGAAAATCCTGTAATGCATGAAAAATAGCGTGACTTCATTTTTGACAGTTTACAAATGTAAAGTGTTGCATCCTTAAAAACTTGGAAATATATACATTCATGAATTATCTTGTATATTAATTGAAAATCCATAAAACCCTAACAATATTTTTTCTTACAAAAAAACTATAAAAATATAAATAAAATTAATCGTTAAATAAAAATATTTGATATTAGAATTTTATTGGAAAAATAAAAAACTTAATATTTTAAAAAAATACTTAATACTTGAATGTTTAACTTTTACATTATCATATAGACTCTCAAATTATTGATTGGAAACGGTTTGAGGGTTATCAATTTAAAAAATTGTGAGTTTTTTAGATTTTTGGCAATGTTAAACGGTTAATTTTTTCTCAAAAAAATATTTCGAATTTCCGAAATTTTTGACATTTTGGCTGAGAACTATGGTCTGCGAGGTACATAGATAGAATCAGTACCTCGCAGACTATAGTTCTCTATATGGCGCCGAAAATTTTTGGTGAAATGCGACGACATTTCACCAAAAATTTTTCGGCGCCATAGGAAGAATTGGAGGGTGTGAGATACTATTACATGCTATAGTACTCACACCCTCCAACTCCCAATCAAAATCGCATAAAATTTGCTACTTATCTTCAGATTACCTCCCATTATAAAATATATCATTGCTATCTCATCGTACTATATTTCCACCCTATTGTATTTAAAAATATAAAATTTTTTGATAATATATTTTATATCTTGAATTTTCAAACAATATATTCACAGATAATATAATGGGAAATCTATCTCAACCTAGCCTTAAAGTACCAAACTCCTGCTTGCATTCTCACTCACAAATATTAAACATCCATCTCCAAAAAACTAAATTCTTCACAATTTTTTTAAAATTGAGAACATAAAAAACGTATGCATTCCATAATTTAAGATACTAACAAATATTACAAACTTCAAAATATCAGATATTAACGTTTTTCAATTAAAAAAATATCATTTTGCTTTTCAATTCGAATATAAATCTTAAATATTTTTAATTAATATCTGATTTACAGCATTATTATCCATTTATAAATCTGACAAATAAATGACAAAACCATCAGAAATAGTGTCACTTTTTGTCAAAAGTGAAGTCACGCTATTTTTCATGCACAACATGGTATTGAAAATCCCATGTATTATAAAATGGAGGGTCGCAAATAAAGAATATATTTTCTTTGTCTTTATATTCTTTATATAATTCCCTCCAGTCTTTTCGTACAAATGTTATTCCTTCAATATATTTTGAAATGTCTTCATTAAATCCTTTTGACATTAATGTTTCAATGTCATGTACTCTAATAGCTCCAGAATATAATAGCCTAGCACTTATAGTATCCCAGTCAATATATTTCGAATTTTTTAAAACATCTCTTACAATTTCTTTTTTATCTAATGGTATTTTGTCAGATTTTTTAATATTTATTTTTTCTTTTAATTCTAATAATATTTTATTTGTGTCTGGTATATGTTTTAATCTCTCCATATAGTTGTCATAGTCATTACATATAATAACACTGTCAGGAAATATAGAATGACATAAATGCGAAATATAAAATGACCCTCCGAATAAGTCTACGAAAATTAAACCTTCAGGAAGCTTTTTTAATTCTTTTAAAATAATATCTTTACATCTGCTTTTATTTCCGAAGAAAGGTAAAGGTGGTTTTGAATAGACCATTTAAATTCTCTTAAAAATACTTTTTCAAAGCAATTCATTCAAAACTAAAAAAAGTGTCATTTTCTTATGATGACTCCAAAGCCAAGAATTGGTCGAATGGCTTCTAGACCAGCACCTCCCCCACCTCCCCCACCTTTAAACACTGTGAAGAAGAGAAGAGGAAGACAACCAATGAAACATCTTGCAGACCGAATTGAATTAAAAGCTCCAGAACCTCAACCTCAACCACAAGCACAAGCACCAGTTGTAGTTCCAGCACCACAACCAACTACTGCTACAGTGAAGACAGTTTCAGATTGCTCGGATTCAGAAGACTTTGAAGTTGAACAAAATACAGACCCTGCCACATGGGATAGTACACGTCGCAAACATGCAAAAAAGAGACTCATTAAGTTCATGACAAATTACACTGAAAATTTGTCAAATGACGACAAAAGAGACTACAGTGAGTTTTACGACGCTATTATAAAAGCAGTTGAGAAGTTTGAAAACGAGGTCAAGAACCCAACTATACTCGCTGACTTTTTCATAACAATTTTGCCATACACTGCTACAGTCATTGGTCTTCAAGTCATTGACGAGTTTATACAATGCTTTCCTAAAACAAGCCAGTCTCAAATGTACTCGAAGCTCAGGATATTCAAACCTTACGCAATTTCGTACAATTGTTTAGAAGAAGCAGAACAATATGGAAAACAAAACTCCTTCCGTGTTTATTTTGACATTCCTGAAGGAAAAGTTTCAAAGAGTTTCAAAATATACCCAAGCGCATATTAGACTGATTTCACTCATATTCTCACAACAATTGCAATGGTTGAACCAGAACGTATTCCATTTGGTGAAAAAGTTGTCATACACGCCTACGTTTTGGGAAAAACACCAAATAAATTGTGCCAATTTACTCACTACTCCGTCCAGTTCAAACAAGACTGTGAGTATGTTTTCACACAAGAAGTTAAGTTTTCCGTTCAAAAACCAAAAGGTACACGTGTAAAAATTTTCCTTGCTGGTTTCGTTGGTGACCCAATTAACCTTGACGACGAAGAAGAGGAAGAGGAAGAAGAAGTTAAAGAAAGCAAAGAAGCAAATGAAAGCGAAATATTCCAACGCTATGAAGTCTTTTAAATGACTAAACAATTCAATTTCAATTCCAATTCTTTTTAAAATATGTTACATACTAAGTTCTGTCAAAATGTAAGCTATTGAATTTTTTGAGAGGGAAATAATCGTCGAGGAAGTAAAAAGTGACGCTTTAGGAAATATTATTAGAAATATGATAATAAATATATTTGGAAAAAATATGTTTTTTTTCAAAAATTGAAATGTTCATAGAATATTTTGAAATATGTAGGGAATTGAATTCGGTAATATATGATAAACAGGATTTTTAAATTTCAAGGAAAAATAGCTTTTGTGAATACTTTTGAGAACTCTTCTCAAAGATCATGATTCAAATATATTAAGGAGCCAAAATATTAGAGATGAGTTCATAATCAAAATTTTACATTTTAATTATTTAGAAAAACGTATTAACCTCAATAAAAAATATCTCAAAGATTAATAGTTAATTTAGGGTTTCCTAGCTATCTAGAGGGAATTGTTCCTTATGATGTATATATTTATAATGGATGCATCATAAGGAACAATCCCCTTCTTAAAACGAGAAAACTTGTTCGCAATTGTTTATCATTTCGAACAAGTTTTCTCGTTTTTAATAACAAACTAAAGGCTATGAGGCACTGATTATATATTATTGCCTCATCGCCTTTAGTTCCCTGTAGAAAAGATCGAAATTTTATTGTGATTTTAACTGATCTATATTTCGCTTGCGTTATTTGAATCTTTTCTTTTGCATATGTCATTCCTTTCAGTTTTCGAATTTCATTTGCCTGCATGCTCTCTCGTTTTGGTTGAAAATCAACTCAATCTTAAAATGAACTTCTTCATTCTTTACAATAAATTCAATTTTTTCGAGATATCTCAAATCCTACTTTATCTTTGAAATTTGAATTAATTTTAAATTGAAGTATATTTGAATCCGATTGATATGATATTTCTATTTCTTCTGCATTTGGATACAATACCATATTTAATTGAGTTTGCAACATTTCTTTAAGTTTAGCATTGAAAACTGTCATATCTTCTTGTGGACTTAAATCTAAATAAATTTGTAATGGATATTTTTTCTCTTCTCTTTCAACACTAAAGTTAACAAGTTGTATTAGTCATCCTGCAGGAATGGTTCGAATTTGCCTTATTTCAATAGCTTTTTCACCGCTTGCGTAATCTACCCAATGTTTTGGATATTCATAAGTTAAAACATTTTCATTTATATTAACTGGTGTCAAAAATGTATGTTCGTAATAAATTTTAATACTCTTGTCATTAAGTTGCGGAGTAATGTTCTGAACATTTCTAATTTGCATTTTTAATAGGGATAAAATGAAAAGATTATTTAAAGAAGTAGATGAAGATATGAATGAAAATTCTGAAAAATTAAATTCTTCACTCATTCTTCCTTTTAGTAAAGATTACGAATTTTGTTCAAATGGTGTATATTTCTATTGTGGAAAAATGGGCTCAGGTAAAACATTTAATCTCATTCGTCATATTCTCATAACAGAACGTTTAGGAAATGACTCATATTATGACCAAATTATAATTTCTTCAACTTCAGATTCAATGGATTCAACAGCTAAAACATTTATGTCAAAATTTCAAGCCTCTGTAGTTAAAGTTCCAGATAGTGAACTAATTTCTTTTCTACAAAGATATATAAGAAGAAAGAAGAAATATTATGCTATAGTAGAATTTATTCAATCTGGTATGTCAAAGACTTCTGAAGAAATGGAAAGAATTATTGTAAAACACCATTTAAGACAATGGAATGGAGATTATGATATGAAACGACTTACAAATTATATTTTATCAAAACTTTCAAAATATCCTTTCAAAAAATATCCTTCAAATACTTTGTTAGTTTGCGACGACAAAAAACTTTTGACAAATCTTATAAGTAAAAATCAAATTATATTAACTAAGGAGGACTTGGAGAATGTTATTTCAAGAATAACTAACAAACAATGTGTCATTGAGTATCTCGACCCTGAAATAGAATGTTGTGGTCAAACTCCAATATTTATGAAAATAGGTAATATAAGAATTATTGAAACACCAGGAACTGCAGGAGTTGAGTTTAAATATAGGTATTCCAATGAATATACTAAACTTTCTTCAGATTATAAACTTTGTCTAAAATATGTTCTCTTAAATTAAATATTTAATTCTGAATCTTCATTTTCGACATCTATTTTAACATTTGACCAAAAATTTACTTCAATAGTCATTCTAACTGGTGCTTTTAATTCTACTGGTTCTCCTTGAAAGTCAACAATTCTAAAATACATATCTTTCAAATGATGTGGCATTATTTTTACCCATTTACCGTGATAAAATGTTAAAACAGGTACATGAGGAATAAACATAGAATTTACTTCATAACAGAAAGATTTAAATTCAATAGAACTTTTATTATAAACTCCTGAAATACCTGTTATATTACTTATTTTAGATTCCACATATAAACAATTTCCATAACATACATATTGAACAGATTTCATTTCAATAGCATTGTCGACACTTGAAATAGGTAATTCTATATGGTATGCACCAAGTAAAAGTTGTGCTCTATGATTCATACCTATTATCTTAAATTCTTTATTTTCAATACTAAATTTTAAAGTTCCTATTGAAGTCATTTCGACTTTCATGTCATTTATTTTTGTCTTTACAAGTTTATCTAATTCTGTGTCAAGTTTGTCTAATCTATAATTAGAGACATTATTAAAATTAACTACATAATTTGTTTTTTCTTTTTCAAACACAATATAATCAGATTCGTCAGTTATGACAAAGGAAGCTGTAGTATTAAAATCTAAAACTCTGAATGCTAATGGTTTGCTCTGAAGACCTAAGTTAGTTTGAAGCTTTAATGTCCCATATTCTTTTGGGTCAGTACTTTGCAAATAGAATAACATTTTATTCTTATTAAAATAATGACTATTGCAACATATGCTTATGAAACTAATGAAGCTAATATAGCACATGAGTTAGTAAATGAAAATACAACATTAACCGTAGACGGTCATGATATTATTATTGACGACGGAAATGAAAAGAAAATTATTGACTTTAATACATTGCAAACATATGACCCTTTCATTACTACTAGCAGGGTTCCTGTCATAACCGACGGAACAGTTCAATACATAACTTCTACATTGGATGCTTCATTAGTTAAAGTACTTAATGTTCTCATTGAATTATTAAATAGCTGTCGATTTGACGACAACATTAAATGTCTCAAAAATTTAGTCGTAAATGAAAAACAAATTTTAGGTATTGCAGGAAATACTCCAGATGTGCATTTAATGACATTAGAATATTACAATGAACATAAAGATGAACTTAAAGGAGATAAAGGAGATGCGGGACCTCAAGGTCCTCAAGGAATTCAAGGTCCACAAGGTAAAAATGGTTTAGATGGCAAAGATGGTGAAGATGGAAAAACTGCAAAAACATGGATATGGGATTTAATAAATACTGGTTTAACTGCAGCTTCATTTGGAGCTCTTCAATACCAAGTTGGAAAAATATGGGCTGTCCTTGGTTCTGAAGCTTTAGCGGATATGAAAAATGCTTTTGACTTTCTTAAAAATACTACAGGCACTGCAAATACTTTAGCCTCGTGGATTTCAAATATAGATACAAATATACATAACTTAATTGGAAAAACAAATGTTCTTGAATCTAATGTTGGCGACGAAGCTTTAGCAAAATTTACAGAATTTCTTAAAATTGACAAGGACACAAGACCTTTTGACAAATTGGCTGACGTTTTAAAATCAATGCAAGAATATGCCGCTGCCAACAATACTGAAATCGGTATTATTAATAAACAATTTGTAAATTTACATCAGGCTCAAACTTTGCATGGAAAAAAGATAAATGAATATATTAATAGTTATAAAAGTCTCAGAGATTTATTGCAGACTAATAATACAGAATTATTTAATGCTATTAAAGACCAAAAAGATTTAATATCACAAGCAAAGACATTTATGCAGAGTTTTATAACAGCAAAACTAGCAAAAATAACAGCACGTGATGTTGAAGAAACAGAAACAGAAACAGAAACACAAACACCAGAACAAAAAGCATATAATACCTTATTTGAATATTATCCGAGATATTCTGTTTTATTAGATTTTATTAATGACATTCTTGCAAAAGCTAAAATAGAATTTGGCGAAGATGACTTTGCGGTATATCTAACAATTCAGTTTCAAATTGCTGAAATATTTAGACAATTTTGTTTGTTAAGCGACCAGATGACAGATTTTACAAGATTGGATGAAGACTATGACGCAGAACACGGAGAAGAAGAAGTTATACAAACATCTATTAAAACAGGAAAGGTTTTAACAAAAAGCCTCATTATTGACACAGAAAATGGTGAAGTGGATGTTCTAAATGAACTTAGGAAAGGTTCTGGTTCTTCTGGTTCATCTGGTGGAAGAACAGAACTTGAAACACATACTCATAACATTGCTGACATAAATAACTTACAAACCGCTTTAGACAATAAAGCTGACAAAAACCATAGACATTATTTTGCCGAAAGCGCAAATAGAAGTGTAATACTTGGTGAAGAATATGAAGCATATCTGGAAAAAACAAATGAAACTAAAATTATAGATGGAAATGCATATACTTTGTATAAAAGAATTAAACCAGATGAATATTTTGATATAGGTAGAGCAGATATTCACGAGTACTTTAAATGGAATGAAGATATTTGGGCAAAAACTTCTGAAGGAGATAAATACTAGCTCCATATTTTAATGCCCATATTGTTAAACTTAAAGACTATGAAGATGTTATAAATAATAAAGCAGATAAAAACCATACGCATGACACTTTTACAACTGTTAGAGCAGATGACATAATATTGAACTATACCCTTGGTTCAAGTGCGCCATTAGAAAATCCAAGTACAAGTGTAAAAGACACTCTTAACAATTTAGATAACAAATGTACAAACATTGAAGGGCATGTTAGAAACTTTGAAACAAATGAAGTACCAAGAATGTTTGAAAATGTAAATGAAGAACTTCAAACAATTCAGCAAACTATTGACAAAAAGGCTGACAAACGACATTCGCATTATACAGTGAAAACAGGTGAGGGAGTGCGACTTGGTTCAGATTATTCTGAATATCTTGAAAGAACAAATGAAACTAAAGTCATTGACGGCATAATATATACGCATTTCAACAGAATTAAGACAGGAGTACATTTTAGATTTAATAGAGAAGATATTCGTGAAAATTATTTTGAATGGAATGAAGAAATATGGTCAGCAACTGCAGAAATGGACATGTGTTTAAATCCAGAGTTTTTCATTACAATCGTTGAAGTTAAAAATTATGAAGATATAATGGGGGACAAAGCTGACAAAACAGAACTTCAAACATTAAAGACTGAAATATTGCAAACATTATATCCTATCGGTTCTATTTATACGTCAATGAACTCAACAAGCCCTTCAAAAGTTTTAGGTTTTGGTACTTGGGAATAAATTGTAGACAAATTCTTATACTGTGCTAACTAATCTTATATCCATGGAGGTTCAAAGAAAATTACTGAAGCAAACCTTCCACCACATACACACAGTGGTTGGACTACATTTAATGGAGAACATTCACATAATGTTGGTTTTGGTGAAGGAGGTCAATTTAAATCAGGCTCGGGACCAACTCAAACAGGAGGTGGATGGATACCATGAATGTCGTGGGAAGCAAAAGATTCAGGTTTTATGCATACTGTAAATGCTGGAAATCACCAACATACTTTTATAACAAATGCAACAGGTTCTGATGCAGACTATTTGCCTCCATATATAACTATATATGCATGGCACCGTCTTGAATAAAATCTTTAACTTTATATAAATGAATTTAGAACAAGTGTTTGAATCTCATCCATGGAGAACATTTAAAAAATTTAATGAGGCGGCAAGAAGTTTTGGAATTGAAGACAGAAAAGCGGTTAAAAGATTTTTTGACCAACATGTTGTACATCAAACTAAAATAAACCCATATGACTACTATCTTCCAATTTATTCAAATACTCCCGACTCTTACCAATCTGACACATTAATACAAAGTAAAGATGGAAATGGAAAACCATTTTTAATATTTATTAATGTTAATACTAGAAAGGCATACGCATATCCCATGGAAAATAAAGGAACTGCAGAAGTATTAAAAGTTCTTAAAAATTTGTTTCAAAACGTAAACCAAAAACATTAACATCGGACCAAGACAGTGCATATTTAAGTGAAGAAGTAACAGATTTCCTAATAAAAAATAAAATAACACATTATACTACTGAAGACCATAATGATAATATTCTTGGTATTATAAACCGTTTTATTCGTACTTTAAGAGATTTAAACCAAGAAAGAGATTTCACAGAAAATTCTATGAAACATTTTATTAAAGTATATAATTCGTCTACGCATTCAACTACTGGTATTAGACCAGATAAAATGAATGAAGAACAAGAAAAAGAATATATTGCACAAAAACGTGAAAAATCAAACAATATCATAAATTCAGAGAAATTTAATCTCATTCCTGGCACAAAAGTGAGAGTCATTAAAGACGACAAACCGTTTAAAAAGAAACGTTTAAATTTAAGTAGAAATTATTATATTTTAGATTCTGCACAAGGAAATGGATTTTTAATAAGAGCTGAAGACGACTCTGTTGCATTTTATCCGAGACACAAGTTAGTAGAAAGTAGTAATGGAAGACTTGCAAAAACTTTGGATGACGCTAAAAGAGGAGTTATAGCAGAAATATTAAGTTATAATAGTAGAACAGATAAATATAAAGTTAGATATGAAGGTGGTGTTGAAGATGAAATTAAATCAAATGCTTTAAGAGAATCCAAACCGACACACTTAGGTCCAATGGAAAGAGAATTTTGGAAAGGTAAAGAAATTCCAAATAAAATTAAAAAATATTTCTATTGACTGACTGACTGACCTTTTAGAAAAATATATTTTTGAAAACTTTATAAATTTATTCCTATAAATAATTTAATTATTTCATTCATTTATAATATATTTAAAACATTAATTTATTCATAAATTATATAATAGATGTGTAAAAGTGATGTATTTATTAATTTTTAAAACATAAAAATATAATTTTTGAATTCAGCACATTAAAAAACCTATTTGATGTTTTTGACACTTTTTTAATCCTAAGGAACGGTTTTGGTACGATAAAAATATTTTTTCATAAATGAAGTCTAAAAATATACCTATATGCTATTTGGCACTTTTGCCGCTATGTAAAGTTAATAAATAATCGTCATATCGGCTTAAAAATATTTTTATTGAAATTTTGTGTCTTTGTACGTTAATGTAAATCTATCGTAGTGGTCCAACATTTTTTTAATGGAACGTGGGCAAACTACTCTAGACAGATGGTTGCAAAACAACTCGAAGAATAGAGAACTACTCTCGAAGAGTTCAAGTAGTTTCAGAGAAAGATATTCAATTGAACAATTGCAATTCGAAGACAATTCGGGTTCAAATAACATAGAAGTTCAACAAGACTTTACAGCTGAAGAGTACGAGATACTTAAACAGTATGACCAGTACGAGAACGAAGGAGTCATGAACGAAGAAACTTCACAACAATTCGAATTCACTGCACTCGACGAAGAAGTCGAAGGCAACAATGACACTGGAGACAACACTTTGTGAGAATATTTAATGTGGATTCATTAATTCTGATTATGATATTAGGGATATATTAATATAGATATATAAAGAGCTATTTTCTTGTTTATATCATGCATTATTATTGCAACAATATATACCCAATCAACTTTTTTAAATGAGATCACATCAAAAATATTCAATTTTTCTTCGAGCAATAGTTAAAGTGATGCAATTAAATTATATTGTGAAATTTATAAATGCATCTAACCCGAAATAATCATATCATCGTATATTACCATATAGAAGCTCATTTAGCACATTTGTATAATCAGGTATTAATTAAAATAAAATTTGCTTGTAAATTTTTAATGCCATAATGGAAATCTTCAAGCAATTACTCAAATCCGTGGGTGATAAATAGATATAATAAAAGAGAATTTGATACGCATTGTATATCACTATTTGTGTGTTTCTCATTCTATCATCTCATCTATAAATAATGAATATTTTCACTTTTTCATTGGATGAATCGCATCAAATAAATTTTTAGTTAATGGCTATACTTAGCAATACACAGCAGGATTTAATGTAAAACTATATATATTTGATATTTCCTGCTGGTAGCATCTATAAATATGCGATATTAGTTGAGATAGAAACAGAATAAGCGCATTAAAATCAAAAAAGTGACAAAATCTTGATGGAATGTTAATCGAGCGAAATTTGTGTATGATTGCGATTTGATAAAGAACACAGTTGAATATAATATAACACTACATATATTAATATATTGTCTATATAACAAATCAATATCATCGGTACCAATAGAGAATGAAATATAAATTTTTTAGCACATCAAAAATTTAATTTTTTTCTGGATAGATGATCAATGATCCAATTTCATATCTCATAGATATAATGATGAGAACATAGTTGAATATCTTTCTAAACAACCTATATAATATATTATTTCATATAAATATCTAATGACATCTTATATCTATCGAGTTATTAATGAGAAAATCATTAGATAAAAATATTGTTCCAAAAATATTGCGGTAAATAGCGATGTAAACTACACAATTCTCGGCGCGAGACGGAAAGAATTGTGTAGCCTCATACGCCTATCTTGTGCAATTGCCTCCAATGTAAATGAAAAGTACTTGGCAATACTATTTTGAATCTCTATGAAAAATTTTCAATACGATATTGAATATTATTTTTTGATAAAAATTAAAAATTTAAATATATATTTAATTCAAAAAAGTCAGAGGGTGCAATATCAGGTGAATAAATTGGGTTTGGAACAACTTTGACATTGTTTTCCACCAATTAATTCATTACCTTATGACTTTTGTGAACTCTTGAATTATCAAAATGAATTGCAAACTTTTGTTTTTGTTGCTTGGATTTCTCAAACTCATCAGAATTGATAATTTGAGTAAGAACATTGTCAATTAGATACTGAGCATTCATCGTATTAGGTTTTTGAAGAATATCAATTGCGATGATGCCATTCACGCCCCAAAAAACCGACAACATCATCATTGGTGTGTCAATTTTTTTCTTCGGGAATGTTTGCGGATTTTCATCCTTCGGGATCCACATGATTTTGGCTTCTGTTGCATATTGAAACCAAGACTCGTCCCCTGTTACTAAAAAGCGAAACTTCTTGGATTGATACGCACGCAATATAGAGAGGAGCTCTTTCGAAGATTGGACTCTAGATTTTTTTTGAACTGAATTAAAGTTGTGCGGAACCCAACGTGTATACGCTAGTTTGTAGTTCAAATAATTCTGCAGATAATAACTGACTGTTGTACGTGGTATCTTTGTCATCTCCTCTATCCTTCTGAGTGATGCTCTTGGGTCTTCATCTAGCGCTTGAAGAATTGCTTTGATTTTTCTTTGATCCGGCGATTTTTTGTCAATTTTTATGATGGGCGCCTTTTTGTTCATGAAGTGATACATCCTAACATGATACGTTACAGTGGAATAGCTAGGAGCATCCATACCGAAGCATTTTACCAATGTCTCGTAGTTTTTTTACAGTCTTTGCATTTTTTTGCAAGAGCGAGGATGTTTTCTTTATGATTCATTAAAAAATGAAAAAAAAACGCCAAAATTTCCCGCGAAACCGCCTCTTGTCTCAAAATTCATTTTATATCCCGGCATGGCGCCAAAATACAACATACTCATCATATACATATATTCATATTTTTTATTATATATTTATAATCAGCATATATCTCCTTTAATAGTCTCATATAGAGCGCTGTGCTAAACGCACCTTTGGACACCCTATATAAAATATGATTATAAATCAAAATAATATTTTGACATGTCAAAAATAAGTTCTCAAATCTCATTTGACATCTGACAAAAGTATTCAATTTTGATTTTGACATCTGACATTTGACAATCTGACAAAAGTTCTCAATTTAAATCGGACATTTGAGATCTGACATTTTCGTTTATAAGACTACCCTCGACCCTGACGACAACACGGGGGATGAATTATTCCAAAGCTTTGGGTCTCCTCCGAAGGAACAGAAGGAATGCCCCAGGAGACTCAAAGCAAGAAGAGCAAGTGGTGGAAATGTTCCTCCGATGGGACACTATGCATCCAGAGCACTTCCACCTCCTCCTCCTCAAAAGAAGAGAGTACCCATTATGGTATTCTCTTCAAGATCCAGTGAGGAGGAGGATGACAGGGTCCGAGCTCCCTCGCGTCGGGTGAAAGTTCCAGCACCAGCGAGGGTTGCCAAGAACAGTAGTAGACTCCACGCCTCCCAAGTTCCTCCACGTCAGCTCAGAGAAAAAGGCAAGCAGGTAATGGAACAACTCATGAAGAACTATCCTGCTTGCCTGGACGTGGAGGACGACGTGGACTATTCGCCAATCGTCGAGCCCTTGTTCAGACAGGCTTCGCAGTTTGAACAAGTGGTCCTCAATGCGACGACCTTGGCGGACTACTACATCCAACGTGTCCCATACACGGCTACTGTTCTTGCGCGTCAAGCCTTGGACCAGTTCATTTTGCTCTTCCCAGAGGACCAGCGCATGGAAATGAATAGGAAAGCGACGATCTTTGAACCATACTCGCTTTCCTATGACCCATCCGAACTCACCAGAGAGTTCGGACGCGTATCGTGCTGAACCGTTGGAGGAAATTGAATACCCGAGGTTCAACATACATATAAAAATGAAAGAGTTAGAGCCTAGGGTTTTACAGGAAGATAGATGGTACATATGAGATTATCCACAGTGACTCTCAGGCAAATCTGAGTTTTTGGTCAGATATATAAGATTATTGTGAACGAAAAATTATCTAATATTGACCTAATTATCATATGCACATATAGACATATGTATATATTATATGTTTCTTGTGTTATTATAGGTTAAATCCATAGTTTGATATGTGAGATAAATTATATCTTAACACAGAAATCGTTTTTTTATATTATCACAGTAGATATGAGGGGTACTATATAAGTTATAATATATATTATTAGGAATAAGTATATAGATCCAAAATAATGGGAATGCATAATTTATGGCGAACTCAAAACATTTATTTTTATATTATGAGGTTATAAAATTGTTTTATTCATATAGTGGATGTGCTCTGTGCTATTTAAATGTGCTTAAAATGATTCTGCACGCGCAATCACAAAGCAAAACCTCGAAGCGAGCAACAGTTTGTGCAAGGACAGGGAATTCATATTTTTATCCTGACATAAACGTATATTGTGGTTAAAATGTTCGGTTTGCTCTCACTTTTGTTCCACGATGTGACATTGTGAACAAAGTTCCCGGTCTGAGTACATAAATGCAGGGTCTTGCCTTGGCACCATGCATCTATGTACTCAGATCGGGAAAAGCTCTCACTTTTGCTCCGCGATGTGACATCGCGGATAAAGTTTCCGATCTGAGTGCATAAATGCAGGGTCTTGTCTTGGCACCCTGCACCTATGTACTCAGATAAGAAATTTACTTAAATTTTTGACATGTATGTCACATTCAAAAATCGTTTCTCGAAAGGAGTTTACAAATGCAATAGTATATCCTATTATATTGCATTTGTAAACTCTTTGGTTCGATTTCTTCATTTTATTAAATTATAAATATACAAATCTTTCTAAACTTCCTTTTTCATAATTCATTTCTCATTTAACTTCTAAATAATCTAACTCTACAAATCTATATTTTTTCTAATACCAATTTTTCTTATACAAACTCTTATTTTTCGAGAAAGGGACAGACTAGCCCATTGTCACTTTTTAATTTAGCAAATGAACGCTTATGGAGTGGAGTTTATGGGTAAATCTGATTTGCTTATAAATGAAATAAAATCAAAAGAAACCATATTGGCATTATATTATGCAAAAATAAATGATCTTACTTAGTACTTTTAAAGTTAATTTCAGAAAAAATTTGACACAATGGTATCCGGCACATACAAGTGGTGTACAACCAAAATATAAGTTAGTTTAAACATATATTGCTATATCTCATGATCTTACTTAGTACTTTTAAAGTTAATTTCAGAAAAAATTTGACACAATGGTATCCGGCACATACAAGTGGTGTACAACCAAAATATAAGTTAGTTTAAACATATATTGCTATATCTCATGATCTTACTTAGTACTTTTAAAGTTAATTTCAGAAAAAATTTGACACAATGGTATCCGGCACATACAAGTGGTGTACAACCAAAATATAAGTTAGTTTAAACATATATTGCTATATCTCATGATCTTACTTAGTACTTTTAAAGTTAATTTCAGAAAAAATTTGACACAATGGTATCCGGCACATACAAGTGGTGTACAACCAAAATATAAGTTAGTTTAAACATATATTGCTATATCTCATGATCTTACTTAGTACTTTTAAAGTTAATTTCAGAAAAAATTTGACACAATGGTATCCGGCACATACAAGTGGTGTACAACCAAAATATAAGTTAGTTTAAACATATATTGCTATATCTCATGATCTTACTTAGTACTTTTAAAGTTAATTTCAGAAAAAATTTGACACAATGGTATCCGGCACATACAAGTGGTGTACAACCAAAATATAAGTTAGTTTAAACATATATTGCTATATCTCATGATCTTACTTAGTACTTTTAAAGTTAATTTCAGAAAAAATTTGACACAATGGTATCCGGCACATACAAGTGGTGTACAACCAAAATATAAGTTAGTTTAAACATATATTGCTATATCTCATGATCTTACTTAGTACTTTTAAAGTTAATTTCAGAAAAAATTTGACACAATGGTATCCGGCACATACAAGTGGTGTACAACCAAAATATAAGTTAGTTTAAACATATATTGCTATATCTCATGATCTTACTTAGTACTTTTAAAGTTAATTTCAGAAAAAATTTGACACAATGGTATCCGGCACATACAAGTGGTGTACAACCAAAATATAAGTTAGTTTAAACATATATTGCTATATCTCATGATCTTACTTAGTACTTTTAAAGTTAATTTCAGAAAAAATTTGACACAATGGTATCCGGCACATACAAGTGGTGTACAACCAAAATATAAGTTAGTTTAAACATATATTGCTATATCTCATGATCTTACTTAGTACTTTTAAAGTTAATTTCAGAAAAAATTTGACACAATGGTATCCGGCACATACAAGTGGTGTACAACCAAAATATAAGTTAGTTTAAACATATATTGCTATATCTCATGATCTTACTTAGTACTTTTAAAGTTAATTTCAGAAAAAATTTGACACAATGGTATCCGGCACATACAAGTGGTGTACAACCAAAATATAAGTTAGTTTAAACATATATTGCTATATCTCATGATCTTACTTAGTACTTTTAAAGTTAATTTCAGAAAAAATTTGACACAATGGTATCCGGCACATACAAGTGGTGTACAACCAAAATATAAGTTAGTTTAAACATATATTGCTATATCTCATGATCTTACTTAGTACTTTTAAAGTTAATTTCAGAAAAAATTTGACACAATGGTATCCGGCACATACAAGTGGTGTACAACCAAATCTTCGACTCGATGAACTTGTCATCGAGTTATATTCCAGTGTTGTTCCTTCATTCCTGATTAAGTTGCAAATTAAAGGTCTGGATTCAGAGAGAAGTGTTAAAGTTATCAAAAAAGTCACAAGAGATTTCGAAGAAATGACACAATTTAAAAAAGTCGAATGCATCAGTATGCTTGAAGCTGTTCAGAAAGGTCTGAAAAATGATACACTTGATCCCAACATTGTTTACTCAACATTAAAAATATTATTGCAAAGAAAACATTTGATTTAATAAACATTTAATTTATTATAATTAATTTTTTATTACAGTATAGTAAAAAATGCTATAAATAAATTATTATATTTTATTAAAATGTGACTTTTAATAGTAAGTGAATAAAATAAATCAGGAATTGGGAAAGAAATAAGGTTAATTAAAAATAATGAAAATTACAAGTTTAAGGTTAATGAAAAGTGACAATGAGCGAGTTTGTCCCCCACTCTTATTTTTCTTTCAAAATTCCATTTTCCAATATTTTTTGGAAATTTTAAATAATTTTATATATATATTTTATTCTATTTTTATTACATAATAATATTATTCATATTAATTGTTTTATTTTTTGAATGCATACGATAATTTTTAATTCAATTTTTAAACGAATGTTTTGATGGGACGAGCTTACTGCTCATAGGCTCATCCCATCAAACCATTCAATTCAAAACTCTGGCCTTCATCGAGGCCAGAGCTCGCAATTCATATTCTCAAAGCCAAGTTCCTCGAAGGTCGTCCTCATTAGGCCTGATCCGAGAGGAACTTGGCTTTGAACGAAAATCACAAGCTCTGGCCTCAGGAAAGGCCAGAGCTTCGGATACCATTCTCGGGGCCGGTTTCCTCAAAGACCGCCCTGATTCGGGGCGGCCGGAGAGGAATCCAGTCCCGAGAGAGTGTCCATACGAAGCTCTGGCCTTTCTTGAGGCCAGAGCTTGCAAGTACAATCTGCAGGGCCGATTTTGAGGGAGATCGTCCACGTCGTTGACGATCTCCTCTCATCTCGGCCCTGCAAGAAAGAAATATACAGGCTCTGGCCCTAGCAAAGGCCAGAGCTTCGCTTACAATCAAATTTGCCGTATCTCAGGAGATCGTTCAAATCACACACGGTTTTCCCTGAGATTCGGAAAAATAAGTAAAATTACAGTTCTAGAAAGACTAGAAGGGGGCCCTGACCTTGAGAAAGGACCCCTTCCCGGTCTTTCTGGAACAATTTGTTTCACATTGCGAGTGTCTGCTGCGAATCCGGGGCTGAGCAGCAGACACTCGCAATCATATGTTGCGGCAAGTGGAGACGATATGAACCGTGGGAAAAAATTGAGACCCCACGATTCAGACTTTTTGATGTAGCATAGTTACACCCCATATATGTATGAGTGAATATCAGTACTCATGTCATAGGTTATTCTATTCGAGTAATTAAGGATTATGTGAAGACTATAAAATCTTATATTTTATAATCTGCGAAAATTCTGTGATATTTCAGTTTCGAAATATATTTCTAGGGGTAAATGCAATGGTAAATGAGTTTAAGTTCAGTTATTAATCTTGAGTTTGAAATGAATTTCAAAATTATAAAAAAGTGTGTTTTTGAATTGATCACAGTGGTAACAAGTCCAGTTAACTATAGGCTATGTGCGCATGTAACTAATATTGGTATAAAATCAAAAATGAGTTAAAATTATCGTTGATGATGTTTCGTACCGAAATGGCTAACAAAAAAGTGACAGAAAACCTTAAATTGCGCGGCAATTTTAATTAAAAAATAAACATTAATTTTTGTGATTGATATCATGCATTTTATTTATATTATATAAGATTTAAATTTAGGGGAAAACTTGGAAAAAAAATAAGATTGGAAGTCTTTAGGTAAGAAGGAAAGGGCAAGAGATATATAGTGTACCTATATACCTCTTGCCCTTTCATTCTAAGTAGAAATGGGAGAAACTTTGTCCGCATCATAAGTTATGCGGACAAAGTTTCTCCCATTTCTAATGGGAATTGCAGGCTATGAGGCACTGATATATAATCAGTACCTCATAGCCTACAATTTCCCTTATTAGACTTCCAA